GTGTTTGACGTGCTCAAATTTACCTGCAGCTGCTTAATAATAGCTTTTCAGGTCAGCATAATCAACTGGAAATTGTTGTGACAAATCATACACCTTTCTTGACCTGTCTTGTTAAGTGACCCTTAAGTCTTATGAGGGTTCATTTCATTCTTCCTGCGCAGTATCCATACTGGCTGTTTGATTGGTATTTAGAGGTCTTGAACTGGTTTTGCTCATAATGCTGAACAAGTACTGATGTTAGTAACCTAGGGTAAAATTTTGCTGTTACTAGGCAATAATCCTACCTCTTCTAGAGGTTAGCATTTAAAATTAAAATACATTATATATAATTATCAACACAAATGATTTGTGTGATAAACCATGTCACTGGAAGTCCCTTCTGGTTAGCTCCTCAATTATCCCCCTTGGTTGGTGTAGACACGCATTAATCACTCAAATGGTGTAATGATTATCAGTAAACAATTATAAAATAGGTAATTATAGATACCCAACTCAATTCGAGGTGGTATAATTTTACATCCAAAATAGGGTCTGCACCATTAATTAATGGTGCTAGGTTGCTTAATATAGTACAACTAGACTATGGTAATAAATGGGACCAGGATGAATAATAATTAGTTCAACTAGTCAAAGTTAATATGGAACTAGGTTATCAATAAACACTAGTCAATATAAATATCCTACCCAGTAGTGGGTTGGCAATTAGTAAATATTGTATCGAGCAGTGAAGACTAGTGCAGTATATATTTGTTAAATAATTATCTACTTTAGATAATTTATATAGACAATTTCGGTTGTGAGCCTCTTATAAACTTCTAGTATTATTTAGAAGTATTAATTCAGTTATTAGTGACCTTTCGAAAAAGTAAACACCACACAATCTGTGCATAAACTTGCTAGGGCGCAACCATTAATTTGGCTGGTTTTAATTGAAACGCTGTCACTCAGTGGAAATGCACGCCACGAAATTGGTGGGTGACCTTGAAGCCGCTTGAGAGGCTGGGTGTCAAGGGGGTTGTGAGCAGATGTAGTGTTCACAACACCGGTCACTGACTGTCAATGTATATGTTTATATATTAATGATTTTTTTGGCAGTCTGTTTCTACTGCTAATTATTGTTAAAAATTTTATTGCACTAGTTCTTATTGTTGATCATAAATATGATCTAGGTACGAGGGACCAATTAATGTTGTCCGGTTCGAAGTTGACCAAATAATGTTGGGAATTGACTTGTGAGATTTATACCTTTTTTTTAGATATATACAAGAGTAGTTACATTCTTGTACAACCACTAGTACACGTAGCGTTTCGGGCAGGTCCCTGGAGTTCGATCCCCGCGAAGAATCGTTGTTACAACCAAGTACACATTTTACTGTTGAGTTAAACAGAGGCTACAGTTAAGGATTTGAGCCCAGTAAATCCTCCCCGGCCAGGATACGAACCCATGACAAAGTGCTCGCTGAACGCCAGGCGAGTGTCTTACCACTACACCACGGAGACTGGTAAATATTTATTTACATTAATTTATTTGTTTATTTTACATTATTTATATTAATTTATATAGAAATTATGTTTTATGTTAATTTATGTATTTTTTGATAACAAATTGTACGATAGTTAAAGTGCATTATATTTCTTATAATTCCTACATATCAATTTCCTTACACATTTTCGGTGGTTCATTAAATTATTTACATGTATAGTCTTTTAATCAAAATTTATTTGTTAGTAGACATTCACTACAGTATTAGACTAAATATGTAACTTAAATTAAATGGGGAGGCCTTATCTGTATTGTAGTTTTAGCCTAGTCAACCAGTATGGACACGGAAAAAACACGCCAGTCGATAACTCCTTGTGGGTTTGACTAGCCTCAACTCATGTACTGATTGATGCTAGGTAACTAGTTTTATTTCTTACTCTTTAATTACACCTGTCAAAGCGCACTCACAACAAATAGCAGGAATCCTAATGTGACAGCTATATCAAAGGAAATGTTGGTAGTTTCAATGAAGACAAGGTCAAAGGACTAGTTACCTTGTTTTTGTGTCTCGATAGCGTCCAAACCGGTTCACCCTATATCTCTACCTAACATTCTCTGGCCAGTAATGTAAGATAATAAATGGGTTTCAGAAAGACTTCCCTAATAGTAAACGTAGTTGTGTTGACAATAGGAGCACTTTACTTCCTATAACACACTTGTCCAAGGGAGAATTGTAGGAGCTTTGCCCCAACCAAACTTGTTAAAATTAATGGTTGCCCGAGGCACCCTCCTGCAGCCTGCATCCATTGTTCTCCAGATGCGCTTATCAGTTAGAAGGCCGTCATTTACTCTATTTTGAGACTAATAATAAGGTTTATTCAAGGTAAATGTGTATAGTCCCAAGACCAAAATATTTAGAATATTTCCCAACAGAATTCGCTGGTAAATTTAATACCGACGTGGCAATCATATCTCATGTTTACAATTGACGGAAATTTCCACTGTAGCTACATTTTCTATGGGTTAATTTGAAAGCTCGTAAATGGTGTCATGTTTTCCGACAAGCAGCCCATTCATGTGAGCGTTCTCAACATTCAAGTAACTCATACTAAATTGCCTTATCCTAACCTACCAGGGGACCCACGGACAGAAAGCAGGACAGTATATCAATTTCACGAGCCGCTACCACTTACTAGTATAACAGTTTTTGGCCTTCGGTAAAGTATTCATCAAAACGCGATGACCTATTGGGAGAACAGGTTGAGGTGTGACCAGGGTGGCCGCTTTTTGTCTGCCGAAGCATAGCCGCAGGAATGCTACTGTTCAGTGCAGGCTGTGGCAGTAAGGTGCAGGGTAACACCAATAGTAGCCAAAGATATTATCTTAAAATATAAATGTAAACCATCAGTTATTATAAAACAAGTATTTCACTCCATCTACTTTTAAAATCTTTAAAATTTATCTCTGACGTTTCCAAAGGCTTTGCAACAGTTTTCTTTCTGTTCCTAATTCCAATTCATCTCATGGTATTCTAATTAATTCATCACTAGAATTCTGCTTTTCACATACCATATAACCACCCAATAATTTTGTTCCCACACAAAATCTACCTATGTTTCTTAACATCTACCTATTCTTCCTCCAGTTGATCAGTTCCAATACTTTCACAGGTCTGTGCCACATCATACATCGTCCACTGTATCCATTCAACCTCACACTGAAGTGTGATGTTGGTCATTGGATTTTCTCGTATACTCCTTTACCTAATATGTTATTTTTCTAAATCTTTTTCACTTTCTTGAGTTTGTGTGAGGTATAATCACTTAATCTTACATGCCATATTAATTGTGGAGAATTCTGATTCGTGGAATTTATTATTTTTTAATGATTAATTTATTTAATAAATTCTAATTTTTAATGAATGATTAATTTATTTATTATTTATTTATTTTGGTAGTGGACTGTATGTTTAATTGAGTGGACTATATGGTATTAAATTATCCCCACAATTCATATCCTACACAAGTTATGGGGGTTATTAATTATAGACTATCAATCAAAAATTATTAATTTATAAGAAATTCACTACAATTGTTAATACTACTTGGGTTAATGTAAATGAATAAAATCCTTATCTGACCAGAAGGCTTCAACATTTAGGTAATGGCGTAGAATAATAACAAAATGTTCTGTGCTAGCCAAATTTTTGGTCACGTGCTCATAGCGTCCATGCGTATCACGTGTTGCTGGGAATGTACACCGTAACTAATGCAACTAACATCCTAATAACAGATATTGTATGGCATAGATAATTATTAGATTATGATAACAGGGTTTTCCATTTTTTAATATTCGCCTGCCTCATAACCAGTTTGTACAACTCATATTATAAGGCTATGTAATAACACGTAAACTATTTAGCAAACTGGAAATGAGGTACTCCTGTAATGATGAGGTTGTGGTAGTAGATGAAAGTCAAAATGGCTCGTTTTGCGAGTATTGATGATACTGCCTGAGGTGCGTTCTCACGGGAGCTTATATAAATTCACAATGGCGTCCTCCCCAAGTTACAGTCTCACTCCTATGCCAGGTAAGTCCACTACTGGCTCACCATAGCCCGTGCTACTTAGAACGTTTTGTTCCCAGTAGCTGAATCTTAAACAACAACAACAGCGTCCTCCCTTTTTTCCCGGTCAGGTGATGCCACTAACAACCAGTTCAATTTTTGGCCCATTTATGGACAAAGGCGTTGATTTTATTTATTGTTTTATCTGATCCAGTCATAATGAATACTTTTTTAGTCATTCTAACGCTAGACTGGTTTTTAAGTGACTATTGATATTTTAAGTATATTTTCTAGTGGCATGGCAATTATTTCTGTTTTTTTTTTTCACCGGGAAAATGCTACACGTCTTATATTATTGGCATGGGTAAATAAAATAATTTGTGTTAACTTGTTAGTACAAGAACAACAGCAATATTAAGTAAATTTTGTATTAAAAATTATTAAAGGATGACGGTTATCCCGCCATTACTGGCATGACAATAAACCGCAAAACTTTCTTTTAATTGGATTCTAAAGGCTAACACACTTAATTCATTTCTCCACAATAATGCGCTTTCCTACATTTCCATCAGTCACACTCGAAATGTATTTATTTCTTTTTATTCTCGGTGTTATTGCAATAACACCAAATAAAATTGAGCATCTTTATAACCTTTAAGCATTCTCACATATATACCAGGCACACCAAACTTTTCTCAATTTCATATTAAACTATTTATAATTTTTTTATAGTAGCTCTATTTAGTAGAAATAAAAACCAACATGTCAGTCTTCATAAACATAGCAGTACCTGAACAATATTATGAGCATATAATTCTGATAATCGTTAGCAATAAATGAGAATTCTTAAAAATATTATGTTATGTCCATTGAAGCATTCGATGATATTCTTGCTTTACTATAGAGTAATATCTAGTTACATGTATATAAAATAATTAAAATAAACATTACCTCCTGCTGAAAACGGGCACCAGGGGATGGCCTCTGGGGCAGGATAAAGAGACCATCAGAGGTAGGAACTCCTCACGGCCCAAGTAAAAGTCACACTCACCTGAAACTCCAGTATTTATTTTATAATCTGACGCTAATATGGCAATAGCAATAATATAGTTAATTATTTAATTACTAATTTATTAAAATTTTAATTAAAAACTATTTAAGATTTATATATACACACACACACACACACACACACACACACACACACACACACACACACACACACACACACACACACACACACACACACACACACACACACACACACACACACACATATATATATATATATATATATATATATATAACTCGACAACCTATGATAACCATCTTTGTAACCCATATGTAACTCCTTTTTTTGTTTAAAAGTTCAAATAAAGTAAATATAAATGTGTACATACAAAAGAATGGGGGTAGTAGGAGACGATAATATTAGTTTTCAGTGAGAAACCACAAGGTCTCCTCTGAATACTTTTTATTTTCTTCTCCGAGGCTATGGGTCCCCACATTGGCACCAGAGGTGGTACCCCTCACAAGCTTTTATATATATACATATATATATATATATATATATATATATATATATATATATATATATATATATATATATATATATATATGTATATATATATATGTATATGTATATATATGTATATGTCGTACCTAGTAGCCAGAACGCACTTCTCAGCCTACTATGCAAGGCCCGATTTGCGTAATAAGCCAAGTTTTCATGAATTAATTGTTTTTCGACTACCTAACCTACCTAACCTAACCTAACTTTTTCGGCTACCTAACCTAACCTAACCTATAAAGATAGAGTAGGTTAGGTTAGGTATGGTTGGTTAGGTTCGGTCATATATCTACGTTAATTTTAACTCCAATAAAAAAAAATTGACCTCATACATAAAGAAATGAGTAGCTTTATCATTTCATAAGAAAAAAATTAGAGGAAATATATTAATTCATGAAAACTTGGCTTATTAGGCAAATCGGGCCTTGCATAGTAGGCTGAGAAGTGCGTTCTGGCTACTAGGTACGACATATATATATATATATATATATATATATATATATATATATATATATATATATATATATATATATATATATATATATATATATATATATATAGTGATGCAGCGGCCAACATGCTGAAGCCAAAAACAGCTCGGGTTTGGCATTCCACAAGGGTGTGAGGCGGCAGCCCATGCAGCTCGAGCCTTCATCGCCAACATCACAGACGAAAAGGCCCTTATCAAGCTAGATTTCAAAAATGCCTTCAATTTGGTGCGGAGGGATGCGGTACTCCGTGCGGTTCATAGTCATTTCCCTTCCCTCTACCCTTTTGTACATTCATGCTACAGTATGGATCTTAAGCTACTTTTTGGCGAACATGAAATTGACTCGCGAGAAGGCGTCCAACAGGGTGACCCCCTTGCTCCTCTCCTTTTCTGCTTAGTCATCAAACAAGTCACAGAGGTCCTGTCCAGCTAACTTTACATCTGGTTCTTGGATGATGGTACCCTAGCTGGTTCCCAAGACTCCCTCCTGGAGGACATCAGAAAAATCCAGGAGCAAGGTGCAGTTTTAGGCCTCACCCTGAACCCTTCTAAATGTGAAATAATATGTTCCAACCAGGGCATCGTAGAGAGAATAGAGGGTCTTCTGCCAAATATCCAAAAAACTAAACCTGAAGACAGCACACTCCTAGGAGCTCCCCTGGGGTTGAAAGCCATCGATGAGGTCCTTGATAAGAAAATCGCCGACCTTAAGAGGATGGATGGGAGGATTGAGGATATTGATGCTCATGATGCACTCTACCTCATCACCAGATGTCTGTCCCTCCCCAGGTTAACCTACTTTCTGAGGTGTTCACCATCTTACAGTAGCCAAAAACTAAGTGAGTATGACCGGTTACTGAAATCAATGCTAGAAAAAGCCCTTAACCTCTCTCTCGATGACCTACAGTGGAAACAAGCCTCTCTTCCCGTAAGACTTGGGGGCCTCGGAGTTCGAACAGCAACGCAAATCGCTGTTCCAGCCTTCCTGTCCTCCTTATCAGCATCCGACGACCTTGTGAAGGAAATTTTACCTGCCCACTTACATCAGCTGGCAGGTGTACATGATCCCAATTTTACACGCTGTGCCACAGAGTGGGCCTCTCGTGCAGGCCAATCACCTCAACCACCATCCCAAAAAGCCCACAAGCAATCCAGCTGGGATGGTCCCATTGTAGACCAAGTTGCTGCAGAGTGCCTGGGTGCTGCAACAACACAACACGACATTGCTCGCCTCACAGCAGTAGCAGCACCACATGCAGGGGATTTCCTGTTAGCAACCCCAATGTCGGAAACTGGCACGCGTCTCACACCACACGCCCTCCGAATTGCTGTGGCCCTCCGCCTTGCTGCCCCAATCCACACCAGATATAGGTGTATTTGCGGCGAGGTGGTGGCTGACAGGTACGGCCACCATGGCCTACTCTGTCAAAGCACAGGGGGATGGCACTTGAGGCACAGTGAAGTTAACGACATCATCAAGAGGAGCCTCACCACAGCTGGATGCCCAGCTGAAAGAGAGCCCCGTTACCTAACGCCCCGTAACTCTGATGCTCTTATTGGTGGCCCGGATGGTATCACAGTGAACCCCTGGAAGAATAGCAAGCAGTTGGTATGGGACTACACGTGCGTATCAACCCTGGCTAACACCTACATTAACCTCACTGTTGCACAACCAGGTGGCGCTGCCACCCACAGGGAAGCAGCCAAATCCCGTAAGTATAGAGAACTGGATCACCACTACAATTTTGTCCCCATTGCTTCTGAGACACTCGGCGCCTGGGGTAAAAGTGCTACCAGTTTTTTGAAGGAACTGGGTTCTAGGCTCATTGAAACAACAAGGGAACCGAGAGCTGCAAGCTTTCTTTTCCAGCGCCTCAGTGTGGCGATACAGAGGGGAAATGCGCACTGCATCCAGGGTTCCTGCCCGCCATCTGAGGAGCTGGAGGAACTCGACAACCTATGACAACCATCTTTGTAACCCATATGTAACTCCTTTTTTGTAACAAAGTTCAAATAAAGTAAATATATATGTGTACATACAAAAGAATGGGGGTGGTAGGAGAAGATAATATTAGTGTTCAGTGAGAAACCACAAGGTACTTTTTATTTTCTTCTCCGAGGCTATGGGTCCCCACATTGGCACCAGAGGTGGTACCCTCACAAACTTTTATATATATATATATATATATATATATATATATATATATATATATATATATATATATATATATATATATATATATATATATATATATATATATATATATGTCGTACCTAGTAGCCAGAACTCACTTCTCAGCCTACTATTCAAGGCCCGATTTGCCTAATAAGCCAAGTTTTCCTGAATTAATATATTTACTATAATTTTTTCTTATGAAATGATAAAGCTATCCTTTTCACTATGTATGAGGTCAATTTTTTTTATTGGAGTTAAAATTAACGTAGATATATGACCGAACCTAACCAACCCTACCTAACCTAACCTAACCTATATATATAGGTAAGGTTAGGTTAGGTAGCCAAAAAAAGCTAGGTTAGGTTAGGTTAGGTAGGTTAGGTAGACGAAAAAACATTAATTCATGAAAACTTGGCTTATTAGGCAAATCGGGCCTTGCATAGTAGGCTGAGAAGTGAGTTCTGGCTATTAGGTACGACATATATATATATATATATATATATATATATATATATGTCGTACCTAGTAGCCAGAACGCACTTCTCAGCCTACTATGCAAGGTCAAATTTGCCTAATAAGCCAAGTTTTCCTGAATTAATATATTTTCTCTAATTTTTTTCTTAAGAAATGATAAAGCTACCCGTTTCATTATGTATGAGGTCAATTTTTTTTATTGGAGTTAAAATTAACGTAGATATATGACCGAACCTAACCAACCCTACCTAACCTAACCTAACCTATCTCTATAGGTTAGGTTAGGTTAGGTAGCCGAAAAAGTTAGGTTAGGTTAGGTTAGGTAGGTTATGTAGTCGAAAAACAATTAATTCATGAAAACTTGGCTTATTAGGCAAATTTGGCCTTGCATAGTAGGCTGAGAAGTGCGTTCTGGCTATTAGGTACGACATATATATAAATATATATGTATAGAATATATAAATATATATATGTCGTACCTAGTAGCCAGAACGCACTTCTCAGCCTACTATTCAAGGCCCGATTTGTCTAATAAGCCAAGTTTTCATGAATTAATATATTTTCTCTAATTTTTTTCTTATGAAGTTATAAAGCTGCCCATTTCATTACGTATGAGGTCAATTTTTTTTTTATTGGAGTTAAAATTAATGTAGATATATGACCGAACCTAACCAACCCTACCTAACCTAACCTAACCTATCTTTATAGGTTAGGTTAGGTTAGGTAGCCAAAAAAGTTAGGTTAGGTTAGGTTAGGTAGGTTAGGTAGTCGAAAAACAATTAATTCATGAAAACTTGGCTTACTAGGCAAATCGGGCCTTGCATAGTAGGCATAGAAGTGCGTTCTGGCTACTAGGTACGACATATATATATATATATATATATGTCGTACCTAATAGCCAGAACGCACTTCTCAGCCTACTATTCAAGGCCCGATTTGCCTAATAGACCAAGTTTTCATGAATTAATGTTTTTTCGTCTACCTAACCTACCTAACCTAACCTAACCTAGCTTTTTTTGGCTACCTAACCTAACCTTACCTATAAATATAGGTTAGGTTAGGTTAGGTAGGGTTGGTTAGGTTCGGTCATATATCTACGTTAATTTTAACTCCAATAAAAAAAAATTGACCTCATACATAGAGAAAAGGGTTGCTTTATCATTTCATAAGAAAAAAATTATAGTAAATATATTAATTCAGGAAAACTTGGCTTATTAGGCAAATCGGGCCTTGAATAGTAGGCTGAGAAGTGAGTTCTGGCTACTAGGTACGACATATATATATATATA